CAATTGCCAGAAGCCATTTTGTTTTCTGAAAAATGACAGACTAACCATGTAATGTTAATGAACCTGTGCACCAGGCTTAAACTAGAAAACTTGGTACCCTGGACAAGGCGATTTGAACAATGCCATCTGCAACAGGGCATAGGAATAAAGCATACAGGTCACTAGCAAAATGCAGAGACGCCATTTCCAATGGCACCAGGAAATAAAGCATCCATCACTGAACCACAAAATCCTTGGACTCCTCAAAAAGAGACCCTCCCTGAAGGGATAAGGGACAAACACGATCATGGGAGGACCTGAGGATACCTTTGGAGAAGAGGAAGCTCTCCACAGTGTGTGGAAGAAAACTAAAGGAATCTGACCTCTCTCACAGTCTGGGAAGAATGTCTGAGGCCAGACAAAACGGTGCTGGAATGGCACATCCAAAATTAGGGATCAGTGCAAGCCCTGGAGCTGGTTGTATGGGTACACAACTAGCAACAAACCAGTCACTGTGCAAAAGCAGGAAATTCTGCACTATCCTCAACATGCTAAATGTGGTGGATATGACAGTGTGACCTCAAGCAAGAGAAGGGCACACACAGGGACCGTGGGCAGCTTTGAAATGAATCCTGTGATCGGCTAAAAGGATCCAGAAAATGTATATTTGGTGTAATGAGAGGAGTCAGCCCAGCACATGGACAAGTACAATGGTGAGGAGGTTTGGCAGCACAACCCACTCCAGCAGGAACCAGAAATTCCTGGGGATGCTCAACTGTCTAGAGAAATGCATGTCACACCAATCTGCCCAAGCCAGAAACCTCATCTAGTGCTCCTGCCTCCCTGAGACAGCCTTCCTGAAGCCAGATGGATGATCACATCCAATTCATTTAACTTGCCAAGTGTTATTCCTCATACAGTAACAGAGCACAATTTACTGAGTATGAGCATGAACAGTCTCAGTCAAAGATATGCAGCTGATGGTCCCAGCACTGCACAAGCCAAAGGTAGAAGATGATGTTACAGTAAGAAAGGGCCTGTTTTAAGGGAGGGAGATAGATTCTGATCAATATTTAACACTGTCAAACTATCAGATAAATGGATAGATTTCAATATCACTCAATGACTCTTGTAGCTCTAAAAAGTTTGAAAAGTGGTGCCATTTTACCAGCAGCTTGCAGGCACAGGGACAGACAAAGCAAAAACAATAACACACACCGTAACTAATTCAAATAAAACATTTGACACATTTTCAATCAGCCAGTGCAAAATTAAAATGTTGCTATGAAGATCAACATAACGAAACAGCAACTTCAAACAACAGATATCCCAGTGGACAGCCCTGAAGTTGGGGGCTGCAGAACAGGGGAGCCAGAACCCCCACTCCCAGCTCTTAGAAAGCAGGACAGAAACAAACAGCAAACTGAAACAGAAAGCCCTGGCTCACAGTGCCACACATGGAAGGACATTACTGCTGCTGGACACATGGCAGTGGGGGAAAACCTGTGAGGATGGGCAAAACTGGGAGTACGGGGAACAGGGGGAGATCCCCAGGAAGGCTGTAATTTCTGTGTCATTTTATGTATATAATTATACGTGCACATATATATATAAAACAACCAAAGAAAAACCCTCTCACATATTTTAATACATAAGTAGTAGCCTTTAGGTCTGCTGCAGGCTTTGTTCTCCTAAAGTCAAAGCTGCCAGACTACACAATAAAATGTCACTATTTTTCTTGCTGCTCTTCTTCTCTTTCCTGTCTCATACACTCCCTTCATTTTTTCTCTGTCTCTCTACTTTATTTCACTTCTTTCTTCCCCCCACTTCTATTCTGGCTCTCCCTACCCCCCCTTATTATCATTTCGCCTCTCCACTCATCCTTGCTCCTTTCCTGCTTCTTCTGCTCTTCTGTCTCATTCCCAGTCACTCATTTCTTTCATACTGAATTAACTCTACCCCTGGTCTATGCATCCTGACAATCTATCTGTTTTTAATTGTTGCACTAAACTTAGCTGGACATTTCAGAGAGCCGTGTACATTTAAACTGAGGACCTTTTCAAAGTCTTCATAATTCAACTTGATTCCATATATTTGATACGAGAGCCATATGTTTTTGTGGATCACGTATTGTTTCGCACATGTGAATACTTACAGAGCAGACCTGTGTTTGGGTATCGATTGCTTTTGCTTTCTGAGATGTCAAGTAATTTTGTGCTGTGTAATAGCATTTATGCTTTGAGATGTGGAGAGATTTTCTCCACACTTCTAAAAATGCTCTGTAAATGTAACAAATGAGGGCTCACAATGCTGAGTGGGCTTTGCTTGGCGTCCTTTCAGAGGTTAAAAGCCCTCACATGCTGCTCCCCCTCAGGGCTAACAGGGTGGTAGGGTTTGAGCAGCATCAAGACCACATTGCTTCTTCATCGCAATTAGCCTTTTTAAGGGCCTTTCACAGGTGCCACCAGTATTTCTAAGTTTTATTGATTCATCCCAACAAACTCCCTAGAAATGATTAATTAATCTATTACATCCTCAGAGCAGATCTAGGAGCCTTTAGTCAGATAAAACTTTCCTGCCTCACACCCTGGTGCTAAGTCTATAAAGAAGGGGAGAGAAGGGGGAGAACATCATGATGGATTCTGGCAGGCATGTAAGAATTGACATTTCCTTTTCAGCAGTTAAAACATTAAACCAAACGTTAAAATCCTACCCTAGGTGTGGATGTCCCCAGCACATCTTGGTATCAAATGTGTGCATCTCCAGGGAAAAGTGGACAGAGACTAGCAGTGATCTAAATGGAGGGGAAAAGTTCTCACACTGATTCAATTAGAGCAGTAGATGTTGTAATATAGCTTCAAGGGATAACTGAAACTTTTGGAGAGTGCTTCCTTTTTTTTTTTCTTTCCCTTTTTCTTTCCTTTGGCTGCTGCCACATGGAGCTCATTTCACATTTCAACTATAATGTAAGTGATACAGAAAAACACTTCTCACTTTGTGTCAGATCCACTGGTGCTGAATCCACAGGCACCCTCCTCCAAACAGTCTGAGAATACAGCTATGCACAAAGCTTTACCTTTTCTACCCTACTCCTGCCACACCTGGGTCTCGAGTGGATGAGTTTTCTTTCTAACTGCTAGCCAGAAAATACTTGAGTGACCACCAGTAAATGATCCATCTCACTCATTTTCTCTGGAAAAAAGTACAAAAGTTAAATCATGACAGTTGTTCCGTGCTACAGTGACATGAAGCACAGGACAAAGACAAATGTGCTATTAACCAACTATGTCAATAGAAGTAGAAATCCACACCTAATATGATGAGAGTGCACTGACTTTGTTACTACTGTGCTGATTTGCACCAGTGGAGCATCAGTGCTGGCAAGTTCTCTGGGAACAGGGCGTCCTTCCCCCTGAGGTAGCCAACAGTCTGGAAACATCACAGAAGTATTTTGCCTGGGGACTCTCAGGATCTGGGGCTGCTTCATGGGCTCTGGTATTGCAGCAACGCCCCAATCTTGCTTAAACAGTAAACAAATATAACAATAGCTACAAAGATAAACCACAAAAAATTTCCCACTCCTGGAATTCCCAATGCGAGGTTAGCACTTTCCCCTCAGAAATAGCCAGCACCTCAACTTCCCACTGCACCGGCTCAAGCTGTGGGTGCTCAGTGAGTCTAAAATTCAGCTCTGTTCCATTCTTTGTCACTCAGAAGTTGAAAGATCTAAAGGAAAAACAACCCTGGAAAATTAAGGCATATAAGTTTGTTCATTGTGGAGAGCTTGCCTAGGTCAGTCCTTCCCACTCCAAACTGGCATCCCACCATCAGAGCTGAGCCGCCAAATACTCGGGGATTCATTTGCAGTCTGTATTCCTATGTTGGCAACAGAGGCAACAATAGCTCAGCTCATCCTCCAGTGCCTGCTGAGTCATCTCTGTGATCTTCCTCGGCTAGTTCAGACCATGGGGAATCCCTGGTAGTCACGCTGCCCCACACAAATCCCCCTGCCCAGCCCCAGCACAGAACCGAAACAGGGAAGGGGCACTGCCAGGTTCCAGTGAGGACCTCACGGCAGTGCAGGGAAACCAGGACATCCTTCTGTCTGCAGCATCAATTATTTGACTGGTCCTTACATTTCTCTAGGATCCACCGCACTTGATTTTCTTTAGCAAACTCTGTTACTCCTAATACTTTATAAATATTCAGTTCTTTCTCAAATAAAAGGTAATAGCTGATACGTCCTCATTTGTTCAAGATCCATGACCACACAGTGATTTTTTGAGTCTGAGTAATATAAAATTAAGTTTTATCACTAAAAATGTCAGTAAAAGTGTACAAACCCATTTTCTACAGTTATAAGGTCTCAGTTGCCAAAGGATTGTATCCTGCACATATTTACAAGAAAATTTGGCTATGAAGATTACTTGACACCTTCTAGTTCTCCTAACCATGTGCTGCTTTCCACACTGCTTTATTAATATTTGCACAGGGCCACACTCCAAAACATGAGGACTCAGAATGACCTCTTACATAAAGGGAATTTTCCTTACAGGACAGACTAGTGGTTAAAAATACAGAACACGAGAGCAATGGTAAAAGCCTGCTGCCAGGAGGGAGGGCTGCAGGCCCGGTGCTATCAGCGAGAGAAAGAGAGCAGCAGCAAAAGGCAGAGCAGAAGCCGCGAGGGAAACGGAGCAGGCAAAAGGAGAAAATGTGCAACTGCCTATTTATATCCCAGGAATTCCCCACATTTCAAGACGGCGTGAAGAACGTCCCGCAGGCTGGGAAACACCTACTGCCCCCGTGGCTTTTTTTTTCTGGGTGTTTTCTGGCAATCGGACGATGCCGAGAGCACGGCGGGGGGAAGAGAGCAGCCCTCTGGATCGAAGGGGCTGCTCCCCTCGGGCGGTGCGGGGAGGTGCGGGACCGGCAGAGGGCAGCGGCGGGCCGGGCCGGAGCGCGGGGCGGGAGGTGCAGGCACAGGCACCGCCGCATCGGGCCAACTGCAACTACTTAGGGTGTGCTCTTGCTTCAGACTCCGAAACATGTCATGTGGAACATCAGAAAGGCGCACTGGTGAACTCTCCGCCTCTAATGGGAAACACTTGAGAGTTCCACCAAATCTGTCACTTTTTAAATGAAAACATGAAAAAAAAGAGCTAAGATAAAACAAAACAACAGGGAAAAAAAAAAAGTTGGAATCATGCACTTTGATTCAGATACTGAAAAATTTTCCTCTAGGAATGGAAAAACTGATGGGAAAAAAAAAAAAAGAAAAAGGCAAACCGAAATCTTCTCGTGCTTGTAGCGGCCGGAGCAGACATTCCTCCCTGTAATCCTCTCGTTCCCTTCCCGCTTCGGGAAGGGAAAAAAAGAAAAAAACAACCAAAAAAACCCTTCTCTGTGATGGCTCGTAGAGATTTTGGGACCTTAAGATGTTTAAACAAGTGGTTCCCATTTCTATGCTAAGGCAACTGGTGACTGTCTCAGACAACGCTGGCTGCTCTGGGCTGAACTGAACAGTGGTTTATCAAAAAAAAGCGAATCAAGAGGCTTCCAAAGCAAGCTCGCTGATTTTGGGGAAAGAGTAGGGAAAGAGAAGGACTGTTCAGTGGACTGGAACCACAACAGGCGGGGCAGGAGGCTGCTCTACAAGAGATATCAGCAATGATGTGTATTTTTAAAAACCTTACTGCTAACTTTTAAAATCTGCTTCTTTCTTGAAAACGTCCCCGTATCTCGGAGGCATCATAGGAACCAGAAAGGCAACCTGTAAGACCGGGGACTGAGAGGCCGCCCCTGTCCCTGTCCCTTTTCCTGTCCCTGTCCCTGTCTCTGTCCCTGTCCCTGCCCTCCTCGCCCCCCTCTGCCGGCCCGGCTGGGCGGCCGCTGCCGCGTGCCCTGGGGACATTGGATCCGTGGCAAACCGTGAAGACACGGATTAAAGTGCCTCGGGAATCCCTCTCCCACTGGTACCAGCGGGGATCCGAGTGGCCATTCCTGGATGCAGGGTGTGTGCCCCTCCTGCCCCGCTTGGGGCTGGTTTGAAGGCAGAAAGGGCTGGTACGGTCCCAAAACCTTGGCGAAAACGAATCAAGGGAGAACTCCGGCTGCCCAAACCTCAGAACCGTGCAACTCGCTTCCCCTAGAAAGACCTCCCGGCATCCCCCCGCGCCTCGGGGGTGTTTTATTAGCCAGGCAACCAACATTTCCCGGGACTTCGTTGTCCGGGCTGTACGAGCCGTTCCTGGCACCGCTTCTGACTCTCCGTCGGGGCTGCCAGCAGCCCCTCGGTGGGACAGGCTGAGGGGGTGGCTGTGAGGGTGGCTGCGGGGCAGCCTTCGTGCCGCAAGAACCACTTGTACCCGAGCGCGGGGAGCGTTCAGGAGCCACGTACCAGATGCCGCAGACATTGTCGCTGATAAGCACCAAGCGATATCGCCTCCAAAGCAAGGCGCGGAGGAAACGCAGCGCATCCTCAACATGTGCCTGATATTTTTTTCCCCCGAACATCTTGTTAAAAGCAACACCTGAAAAAAAAAGACGTGTAGCGAGTGACTCCTTTTTGTTTCTCTCCCCTTTTGATAACTTGGGACATTGCGCCTCGTGTTGTGCTCAGCTTCGCCCTGTCCTTTTTTGATTGTTTGGGTTTTCATGGAACAAAACGATAGTAATGAAAAGAACCCCAGTTATCGTTGGGAAAAAACGGGGAAACAGGCGCCGTATGTTAAACAACAGGTCAGTAACTTTTCTCTGCGGCGGAGCAGGCAGCTGGCCCCAAAATCTGCACCTTTGCATGCCCTGCTTGCCCGAGGAAGTGGAAGCTGCCCCGACAGCCCAAAAATCACGAACCTTCTCCCAACACTGTCTCACAGCCCATTTACTGAAGCCCCACGTTTCTTTTCAGATGCCCCCGCCCGATTCAAGCGCCAGATCTCGCATCAACTGCCAGTGAAATGCCCTTGGAGGGCCAGCCCGCGGCTCGGGGCGGTTTGTACCGTTCCGTGCCCGCTTTCCCCCCGTGCTGCCTCCTGTCATCGAAAACATTCACTGTGAACCACAAAGGTGAGATTCCGTCCAGTTACTTCGTGATCGCTCCGAATTTGTTATTCATGTGGTGTGGGGGGAAAATCCCGCTGGAGAGGGAAAGAAATTAAACGAAGGTAGGTGAACAATTCATCTACCAGCAAAACTGCAGGGTTTACAGGGCCAGCTGGGAAGGCAGGAGCCTCCATCTGTGTCAGGAGCCCTCCGGGAAAACCGAACTTGGGACCCCCGGCACTTCAGGGAAGGATGGCGTTCCTCTTGCCGTCATTTTATAACGGGGAAAGGCCTTACACAGTGAGCAAACCCTCTCCCAAAGGCCGAGCAGGGAGAGCCGCTGTTTCACTTTAAGATCACACCTGATGAGATTTCTCACCGTATTTGCTCACTGTGCAACTTGAGGGAGAGCAAGGCCCTCCTGCCCTGCCAATACGTTCGTGGTCTGTGGTTCTCGAGCCCCTCTCTTGGGGAGAAGGGGCAGGTCCCGGGAGCGGGTGGGCTCCTGCGGGGCGCAGCCCTGTCTGGTGCCCGGCGCCGAGTGCTGGGCGGGAACAAGAACGAGGTTTTGTCGAAAGCCGAATTCCACTTCAGGAAACATGCAGCTGATTTTGAACGGATTCCCACCAGCCCACCAAATCCTGCAGCTGCTTGTTTGGCTAATAAAGCCCCATGTGTTTCTAAACTTATAAAAAGAAAAAGGAAAGAGATGTCCATCCAAGTAAACTATAAGTGAAAACTCATTGATTACCTCCGCCTTCCTGTCTCTGATTTGATTAATCATTGGCCATCATGCTTTCCGAGTCACTTCTGTGTTGGTTTCCCTCTGCCTGAATCCTGTAAGACTTTTCCAGAAGGGCGGCTGTGATGTTGAGACCAACATACTGTAAACAACCACAAGAAGCACAGCTAATGTTTTCAATACAGCTCTAGGACTAAAATAAACTCATTGGATTAGGCCAGCCCGAGCGATTGTTTTGGTGAGCGCTTCCCAGGCCCGCTGCTGAGCACATCCCCGAGGGCTACCTGGGGCGGGCAGCGATGCCGCAGTGGCTCCGGGCGGCGGAGCGGGCGTCGACCCCGCCAGGAGGAGCCCCCTCCCTGCCTACCCTGTGCGGGGCCGCATCCCTGCTGCGGGGCAGATGTGACACCGCCGCAGAGCACAGCCCTGCCAAGGGCGGCGGTGCCACGCACACCTAGGAATGGACTTCTGGGGGATTCCGCAGAGGGGAACGGCAGAGCCGGGAGCCCCGCCCGTGGGCTCTCTCTCCCCCCAGCTCCCGGCTGCCAGGGTGTGCCCAGAGCTCCCGGCGCCGCTGGCGGGGCTCAGCGTCGCTCTCGGGGCTCTGCAGCGCTTCTTGGGGCTCTCCTGTCTGGTTATTCCGGCTCTGACCAAGCCCGCTACAGTGTCCGGCTTTTTAGTCCTCGCAGTATTTTTTTCACCGGCTTCTATTGCCCAAAACACCACGCCGGCTGCCCGTGCCCGCCCGCACGGAGCTGGCCCCCCACGTTTGAGGCTGGCCGCAGGAGCTGACTCCACGGGGAGGGCCGAGCCCAACGGGGAGGAAGGAGGGGGTCCCCGGTCCCTGCCCGCCCCGTCGAGCCGCCCTTCGGCCGCCCAGGCCGGGTCGGGCCCGAGGCGCAGGGCAGGCGGCGAGCTGGGGTCGCCGGAGCTCGCCGCGCTCCCGACCGGCGGGAGCCGCGTCCGTCACACACGCAGAGCGGAGATTTTTTAAGTAACAAATGTACTTTTTTATTTTTGAAACAAAAATATCGTTTTCGGCTTAACAATAGCCGGATCTTGCTGAATGAAGCCTTTGCATATTTTCCTGTTTTAATTGGTTGTATAATAAACAGTCCTGACCCCGCACTCTCTTTTCAATGAGTTCAGGGTGAAACGCGGACCATGGGACTGGAAGTGACTTTTTCACCACTTAAAACACGGACAAGAATACCAGGAATCAGGCGGTATTAACCTGGCGCTCCGGCCGGGGCGGGAGGGAGGGCGCAAGGTAAGAGCCCTGTGTGTGCCTCCTCACGGAGCACGGCTCTGCCCTGCCCTGCCCGCAGCCACCGCCACCGTCGCCTACCCGCTCCAGGCACGACTAGAGGAGCCGAAGCAGCTCTCCCGGGGTCCCTCAGCACTCGCGCTCCCGCCGGCCCGCAGGCAGAGGGCAGCCGTGCCGTGCCGTGCTGGTGGGGACCGGCCGGGGTGCCGAGGGCTCCGACCCTGGCCAGGGGTTCAAAGGACCTTTGCGGCCTGCGCAAAGGACCTGAGAGGAAGAAAAAGCTACGGCCGCAGAACATCCCGCCGAGTTAGCACTGCCCCGGTGTGCCAGAGCAGCAGAGGGGCTGTGGGAGCCCGCTCAGCGCCGGGGAGCAAACCCGGCCCTTCCCCCGAAGGACACGGGCAGCGCTGCCTCTCCTGCAGTGGCCGAGGCAGGCTGCTTCCACGCCTGCTCCGGGCAGAGAGAAAACACGCCTCGCTCTTCTGCTTTCATCTTTCTCCAGCGTTGCGTAAACTCGCGGCCGTTCCGTAAGGGCAGTGGCGGTGGCTCAGCGGCCCTGAGGCCCCCTGGCCCGGTTCTGGCCCCCGGAGCAGCCCCGCGGCCGGAGGAGGCTCCGCGCCAAGGTGCTGTCCCGGGGAGCGCGTCCCGCTCCGTGGAGCGTTCCCCTTGCCATCCTTTATATAACGGGGAAAGACCTTACACAACGCGCAAACCCAGCTCTTGCCAAGAGCTCGGCGCTCGGCTTTTGTAAAGGGGCCGACGGGGCTGGGCGGCGGCGCGGCCGGGGGCAGGTGGGACCCGCGGGATCAGCTGGCGTGGCGGCCCGGAGCGAGGGACTTCTGAGCCGCCGTGAGCACCCCTGGCGCTGTTCGTGCCCACGGAGCTGCCTGCACGAGGGGTCGGTAGAGACCCCTTCTCCTGCCCAGCCCCTGCCGTCCCAAGTGCCACTGTCGGGATACGGCCCGATCCTACACATCGGCCAGGCTGCCCAGCGGGTTCGTATGGGACACTCAGTCCCTGCGTGTCGGTGCCTGGGTGTTCGGTACCACACGGCGCGGTCCGCGGCGGCTCCTCACGGGCCGGCCCCCGCTGCCCAGGCAAGCACAGCGAGCAGGGACGTGATGGCCGCCCCCCTCCCCAGGCCAGCAGGACTGACCGGGCGGCCCGGCCGCTCCTGGCAGCGGCAGAGGCTGCCGGCAGGACCAGCCCTGCCCCGGGCCATAGCCCGACAGTGCCCGGCAAGCGCCACCAGGCCAGCCCGAGACGGTGGCCGGGTTCTCGCCGTGATTTCCCTGTAAAGTTTACATTCAGTGCAGTCTCTGTTTATAAAATACAGAAAACGATCGTGAAAACATCCTACAGGCTCAATGGCCGCAGTTGACTCGGGGCCGCGCTGCTGTCGGGGAGCGGCGAGGGGAGCCCGGGGCGAAGGCGATCGGAGCCTCGCCAGTGCACAAGGAGTCCGGCAGACGGACTAGGTACCGGCTCGGCCCGGAGAGCGGCCTCACGGGCCTGCCGGCCCGCTCCTTTCCCAAACGTGCGGCTCTGTCTCTCTGTGTGTACTCAGACGGGCACTGATAAAGCACTGGTAAAGACCCCTCGGGAATCGGAGTAGCCCCGGGGGCCGCACGGCCCTGCCCGATCCCGGGCTGCCGCCTCCTCCCGCAGCACCTGGCACTGCCAGGTATCGCTTTACCCAAAGCCGCCGAGCCTCAGCAGTCCCGGGCGCTTGCCAAGGGCGCTGCAGCCCGGTCGAGCGACGGCACAGCCCAGGAAGGAGACCGGGGAGGCGCCGGTGGGCCTGTACGGGGTCCGGGGCGGTAATCCCTCCCTCCCTTCGCCCCGTGCCCACCTCCGGCGGCGGGGGTTTCCCTTGTTTCCGACGCACCGCGGAGGAAACTAGCGGGACTGGCAGTACCTATTAAATAAGGAACAAGCAGCCAGTACCTATTAAATAAGGAACAAGCAGCCAAGGCCCTGAGCCCTCCGGTGCAAAGTTGCGATCCCCGAGGCCTGTGAGCGATGCTCCCTCTCCCCTCCACCACCCGCTCCCACCTGAGGGCCGCGGGCAGGTCCGAGTCACGGGACAGCGCTCCACGGGTGGCAAAGGCGCGAGTCGCGGCCGTGTCCCATGTGCACTGGCAGCACCTCTCCGGCCTTTCGCCCCATCGTTACACCAGTGTTCGTGTAGAGGCCAGGCTTTCTCCTTCCCGGCGCCCGGGGCAGCGCTCGGCCCGCAGCCTCTGCGCACATGGCGGAGCGGCCGCGGCACCGCCGCCTCGCAGCGGCTCCGCTTGCTGCACCCCCTGTGCGTCCCTGTCGGGCCGGGAGCGGAGCCCCTCGGCCGTACCAGCGCTCCCAGCGCCCTCCCGTTGGGGACAGGGCCTAGGCAGCGGGGCCAGGGGGCACAGCAGGGCACCCGGGCTGGCCCGGCGGGTGCCCCTGGAGCCCTTCTGCCCTGGCCGTGCTCGCCGAGTGGCGCCGCGGCAGAGAGGCGACCGGTCCCCATGTCCCCCCACGGCTTTCTGTGCCCGGGCTGGAAGCTGCCGCTTCCTCCCGTTCAGGGAGGCTGCAGCAGGCCCCAGCAAAAGGGAAGATCGTCAGGCAGCCGGGCAAGGGCCTGGCTGACCCGCGGGTCACGCTGCAGGCCTCCGGCAACAGGCGGAGAGTGCTCACCCCCAGCACTGGTTTTCTCCCCTGGCAGCCCCTCTCCGGGGCAGGGAGCGGCCCGCGCGGCCCGGGAAGCGGAATACTCGCATCCCTGCTCCTGCCGCAGGCCTCGCCCAAGTCGGGATCTAAGGGGACCCACTGCATCCCGGGCCGGCACTGGGCGACGGCCGCTCCGCCTGCCCCATCCCCTCCTGACCCGCAGGCGCCCGCGCAGGGGCCGCTGTCCCCATGAGCCGGCAGGTTTCGAAGCGAGGCCCAGGCCTCTGGAGCGCCGCTGCCGCAGCCATCGGCCCGGCGAGGAAAGAGGGACCCGCCGGCGGCTCCCGGCTCCGTCCCCGGCCGGGGCCCGGATGGGGCGCGGGCCGCTGTGCAGCGCGGCCGGGCCCGGGATAACGCGGAGCCGCGCTGTGTCGTCCCGAGCAGGCGGGGGAGAAACGAAAGCGGAGCCGGGGTCCGCTGCGGGCATAGCCGCAGGCACTGCCCGGAGGTCTGGGCACATGGGCGAGGTGCCGGCAGCTGCCGCGTCCCGGAGCGGAGGCTTTCCCGTGCCCGGCCGCGCTCACCCCTGTGGAGCCACCGAAACGTTCCCTTAGCGGCCGGCGGGGCCCCGCCGGAGCTCTCGGCGGGAGCGCAGCCCGCCGGTGCATCACGGAGCCGATGGAGAGCCCGGGCATCGCCCGCGTGTTCCCGCGGCGGAGCGGCCCCGGGAGCGGCCCCGGGAGCGGTGCCCGCCGCCAGGAGCGGGCCGGGCAGCGCCGAGCGGCCCTGGCACACGGTGCCCGCCCCATTCTCTGCCGCCGCTAACCGATCCCGAGCACGGAGAAGCAGAGTGAAATAAAACTATATGGAAAGAAGGAAAGGCATTTTATTGGAGACTTTACAATGCGAGAAAGTACAATAAAAGTGCTAGTTCACTCTAGAAAAGTTGGTCCCAAAATGGTACTATGCCACAGTATCTATCAGCTTACACAAACATTTACAGAATCGCTATGAACTGGCCCCTGTTTTATAAACGCTATTTTTTTCACATTACCCTATGTAAAATTGAAGGATCAAAACGTTTTAAGAAAAAGGTCAAGCACTCAAAAGCAGAACCTACTGGAAAATCCATTTGGGGCCAGGTTTGGGGTAAAAAAACGAAGATAGTTTAAACTTTCATTATTAATAATAATATGCACACTGAAAAATATTCTAATTTACAGGAAACTGTCTCTTTTTTTAATAACATCAAAATATTTTTTTAGACTTGTATAAAATTACTTTTAAGACCTCAGAGGACATTGTCTCCTTTAAAAAATATATTTCCCACTGCCGAAACGTTTCACGAGTGACCCTGGCAGGTTTTGTTTTTTGGTTTGTATTAACCAGCAATATCGCACATCTGCTGTTACAGCAGTCCCCACGTTAAGTACTATTTTAACGAAAAGGCACAGCTCGGAAGAAGCGCAGTGCTTTGCAGAGCGAGGAAGAAGACAGAAAACGCGAAGAGAAGGAGGAGGACGAGCACCGCGGGCACACAGTAGTGTATAGGCCCCGCCAGCCCTGCACCGCACGCGTGAAAATGCCTCCGCTATTTACAAGCTCCACTTTACTCTCCCCAAGGCCGAGCCCGAAAAGATTACGGCCGAATTGCATAGGAGCATAATTTTGAGGGCTAAACAGCTTATTTTTTAATTACATGCTCCCCTCCCCCCTCAAAAAAAACCCCAAACAAACCAAAACCCAACCAAAACCAAAACTAACAACTCACAAACAAACACACACACACACACACATACACACTCACACAAGCAGAGAAACACTCGGTGAATCCCCACTCGCTCGGAGACAGGCGGCCCGGCCGCCGACGCCCGGTGCAGCCCCGCGGGGAAGCCCCCACATTTACACTGCCGCCTTCTCATGGCCGGACGGCTCCTGCACTGACACTACACCCAGGGCGAGGCTGCTATTTACCCACCGCGACAGTTTGGGCAGAAAGAGAGGAAAGTCTGCAGCTAAAGGACGAGAAGAGACACGAGAGCACAGGGGAACGCGGCGGGATGGGAGAGGGGCAGCGGGGCCGGTGCATTTCTGTGACGGCGGCCGGCCGGAGCCTCCCTAGATGTCTATGCGGGAGTGTAGGGCGCTGTGTTTGCTGTCGTGCTCCCAGTAGGAACAGTGCATCATGGACAGCTCGGTGGGCTGACGGGCGCAGGCAAACTGGAGGCCGGCTCCGTTCGCCGCCGGGGCCGCCGGCGGCGCGGGGCTGGCCGGGCTGAGCTGCTGCGGGTGGTGGGCGTGCGGGTGGTGGTGGTGGTGGTGGCCCATGCCGTTGTAGGAGTTCACCATGCTGGGCAGCGCCATGCTCTGCACCCGCGAGTAGGGGCTGTAGGACGCCGGGCCCGAGAGTCCTTTCACATTGACGGGGCTGACGTTCCCGCCAGACATCTGGCAGGAGGTGTAGGGCATGGGCGCGGGGGGCTGCGCCAGCGGCCACGAGTTGTTCATGAAGGTGGACTGCAAGTACTTGGGCGGGGACAGGTAGCCGTAGCTGTCTGGGCTGAAGAGGGTCTTGCCAGGCTGGAAGTGGGTCGGAGGGGGCCGGAAAGGCCGTTTCATCCTTCGTCTCCGGCGGTAGTTGCCTTTCTCGAACATGTCCTCGCAGGCGGGGTCCAGGGTCCAGTAGTTGCCCTTGCGCTCGCCGCCGCCCTCCCGGGGCACCTTGATGAAGCACTCGTTGAGGCTGAGGTTGTGGCGGATGCTGTTCTGCCAGCCCTTCTTGTTCTTCTCGTAGAAAGGGAACTTGCTGATGATGTACTGGTAGATCCCAGACAGCGTGAGCCTCTTCTCGGCGCTCTCCCGGATGGCCATGGCGATTAGGGCCACGTAGGAGTAGGGGGGCTTCTGCGAGGGGTCCGGCTTCTCGGGGCCCTTGTCCGTGCTCAGCTCCTCCTTGACTCGCTCCGGCTCCTTGCTGCCGCTGCTGTCATGAGCCAGTAGCGCCACTGTGTCTTCCTCGCCGTCCGGGTAATTGCTCATCATGGTGCCCCGCGTCCGCCGCCCGGGGCGGCCAGCGCAGCGCCGCGCGGTGCCGAGCGCTGCCCGGTGCGCGGAGCCCGGCGCCGGCGGCCGTCCCGCCCCGCGCTCGCCGAGATCGAGGCCGGAGCCGGGACCGGGACGGAGATGGGGAGGCGCCTCTCGCGGCGCCGCTGGTCCGTGCAGCGCGGCGGCGGCGGCGGCGTCCCTGCCCCCGCGGGCTCCGCTCCCCTCTGCCGCGGCAGCCGGGCTCTTTTCTGATTTGTATGGGCCCGGCTGAGTTCCGCTTTCGTCAGGAGCCCGCTCCCCTATCGCGGCCGAGCCGCTGGGCACGGCCGAGTTCACCCCGCAGTCACGGCGCCGCGCTCAGCCCCGCGCACACGCGGCCCGACGTGGCCCCGCGGAACGGCGCGGAACCGCCCCGGCCCCGCCGCGCCGCCGGGGGCGGGGAGGCGGGGGGCGGTGTCCGGGGGGTGCTCAGGGAGCCTCTGCCGCCCACCCCGGAGCCCAGTGGGGCCCGCGGCGCTGCGCTCCCCGCCCGCCCGGTGGGTGCGAGGGGGTGTGCCCGCGGCGCTCGCCCCCGCCACAGCGGCTGTCACACGTCCAGCCGCACACGCGGCCGCGTTTATATGTCTTGGCCGCGGGCCCCGCCAACCGATCGCTCCCGAAGAGCACAAGGAGGCTGTTGCCGCTCCCTGCAAGTCAGTTCTTGCAGCTCTTATTTGCAGGAGGCAAGAGAGCGAAAGGTGTCAGGTCGCCCCTTCTCTCTCCCCGCAAAGTACGCGCTGACAGGCGGCTCGAGGGCCGGGGCAGGGTGGCGGGGCGGGGGATGACACACCGGGCAGCTTTCCTGACCGTTTCCCTGGAGGGCTTCGTCATATTTCACGCGGATCCTGGAGCACCGACATTCCCCCACTCCTTCCCCTTTCCTGCCTTCAGGTAGAGCCTCCCCGAACAGCAGACAGGCCGTCTCAGCTGGCCAGAGCACAAGATTATAACAACGTTATAATAAATCAGTAACACGGAGCTGCTCAGACACGGGCACGGTGGCGGGCAGAGGACTCTTTGCACTGATTTTTAACGGAGCCTTCAGCCCTATCACCGGGAATGGAGCAGACTGGCCCCGTTTGACCCCCGAGCCCTTCCATCAGACAACGCGGCTGCCGGCAGCCGCAAGAGCCCGGCCGAGCTCCGCAGGGCCGGGACCACCTGCGCTCCCGGCCCGGCCGCGCTCGGCCCTCGGGGTGCGGCACTGCCGTGAGCCCGGCGCTGCAGACACGGCTCCACACGGACCCGACCTCTTCTCCCGTACTCAAGCACAGTTCGGTCTGCCCAGAAGCGGCCCTGGGAGCAGCTGCACGCTCAGCTCGGCGCCCGCAGCTCCGCCGGCCGGCAGCTCACGGCCCTCAGACTCGCTCCTGCCTTTCTTGAACGTGAACACATTGTTCTCCGCCCCGCAGATTTTACGTGCTACACCAATTTTGGTAATCAAGCATGAGCCCGGGGGGCTGGCAGCTCCCGAACGTGCGCGCCCGGTGCAGCCGGGCCTCTTCCGTCGAAGAGCGCCTGGGGCTTCGATGGCTGAAGCGCGGATCTCTAGTTCGTGTGCCTGGCCACGGGTCCCCGCTCCCCGCCCCGGGAGAGGCTAATTGGGGATGAAGGCAGACGACGATGTAGAAACGTATTTTAACCGAGAAATAAACGAGTCCTTCGGGGAATTCTTATATTTACATATATATATATTATACTCCTCAGTTAAAATACGTTTCTACATCTTCTTCCACGGCCATATAACGAATCCCTCATCTCCCCTCGACGGAGGAATGCGTGGCCCGTAACCCGGGCTCTATGATTTCGGTCACAGACAGGAGGCCCGTCTGTTTCCGCACCCAGCCGCGGAGCAGCGCACGCCGCCCCCAGGCACCTCCCCAAGGCACACAAACGAAACGGCGGAGGGACGAGGCCCGCACGAGAGACCCTCTCCAGGTTTCTCCTCCCCGGGCGGCCCCCAGTGGCTCGCCCCGCGCAGGGCGGCGGAGCAGCCAGAGCCAGCTGTGCCCCGCCGCCGGGACGGGGCTGCCGGGCTCCCCAGGGCCGGGGCGAACTTCTTTCTGCCGGCCACCCATGCTGCTCCCGGCGCTCCCCCTCGCAGGCATTTCCGCGGCGAGGGCCGGGGCAGGTGTAACAGCGCTGCCGCCTGTGTCATCACCTCCGCCAAATGGCACATTCCTCCCTTCTCACTCCTAAGCCGGGCGCGTAGCTCCTTACCAGGGCTCGCTCGCTCGCAAAGGACATTTGACATCCGAGGGGCTTGTTTGGGTTTTTTTGACAGCCCGACCAAGGGGGATTTCGGATGAACACCAGGACAGACGCTCAGCCCAGCGCTGGGAGCGGCGATGGGGCCGAGCAGCGGCAAAGGTGAGCGCGCAGCCCAGTGTGCGGCTACTGGAACGTTTGACACCAGGATAGGCAGGCGCTGCCAGGCTCTTCCCTCTCCTAATTAAGCCCTTCGTGGGACATGAAAGAAGCACCTGAAAGCGCAGGAGCATGCCCATGAAGCTGTACCCTATAGCTGCGGTTGAGCGGAGAGCTGAGGGCTTATCGGCACACACAGAAATGTCACAGCGAGGAGGATGCGAGAAATCAGGAAGGGCAGCGAGCAGCGGAGCGCGGAGAGCCCTTTCCGGGAGAAGGATCGGGGGATCCCCGGGGAGCGGCGCGATCTGCCGGTGCGCCTGGGTAAGCCCGCGCCCCGCCGCTCCCGGGGCAGGCAGGAGTCGAACATGCCGGACAAAGCGAGCGCAGAAGGAGCCAGCGGAGCTGCTCCCGGCCCGGTCCTGCGGTCGCCCTCGGGGTAGGGGAAGCAGGAGGGAAGCTCGCAGTGGAGAGGGCTCACGGCGCCGGTGCCCGTAACCCGGCCCGCTGCGGAGAGGTGGCGGGGAAAGGGCTCTCGCTTTCTTCACACGAGGGCAGAATAGCCCCAGCTCCAGCCCGTCCCCAGTGCAGGAAAGCCGGGAAGGAGGCGGGCAGAGCGGGGCTCAACCCCGGCCACGCACCTCCGCTAAGAAGCGCCCCGAAAGGTGCTGCAAATCGGGGCTGCGCCGGTACCGAGCCGCACCGGGTCTACCTTCCCGAACAGAGCACGGACCCTCCGCTGCGGCCCCGGGTTCCGTATTCCGGCCGGGCAGCGGCTGAGCCCGTAGCACGGGTGGAACCGCGGAGCGGAGCGGGACACGGCAAGCGCCGGAGGTCTCGTAGCGCCCCAGGGACACGGGGCAGGGCGCCGCCCCCACGGCTGGTCCCCGTAGCCCGGACCACGCTTCCCATGAAAGTCGTGCCTTCAGCTGCAGCGCTGATAAGACTCGAGTAGCCAGAGTGGGCTTTTTTCTACTCACCCTGTGCAGGAAGCAGAGGCGATTCTACCTGGGTCGGTTGGTTTGAAAATGCGGCAGCCTTCCTCTCCCAAAGTTTTTTTGGTTTTGTTTGGTTTGGTTTTGTTGTTTGTTGTTTTGGGTTTTTTTTTGAGAGAGAGAAAACATGCCTCCGGCGGGGAGCGCCGGAGTGCCCCTGGCTCGGAGAGCCCCGCTCCCGTTCGGCCAGCACAGCCGTCGCCTGCAGGCACCGGGGCAGGGCTCCCACCTCCCTCACCAAGACGCGGACAGCGACAGGCGACACAGACCCGTTGGCTGTCCTCCGGTTCCTGCTCCGCTCCGGTTGCCTCCCGGGGTCGGACACACGGCCGAGGACCCACCGCTCTAGCCCGGGCACGCTGCGGCCGTACCCACATTAACGCGCACTCTTTTGGCTCACGCAGCAGCGACACGGATGTAAAAGCGGCCCCGGGCGAGCCTTCTTCCCAGTCCCGTTTCCCTGAGGAGCGGGACCCGCGGCGCCGCGGGGCTCCGGGAGCCGGGAAGGACCGGGCGCTCTCGGTCCGCCCTCCGTCCCCGCAGCACCCTTCCTTCCTCGGCACAGCCACCAAAGCATCCGGGACAGAGCAGTCAGCATGCTACCGTGTCAAGTATTCCTAGTTTCTTCCTTTTTTATTTTCCCAAGTACTACTAGTCTTTAAGATTGTGGACTATTTATCCCCATAACAAACACAGGAATAGCAGGGTATATATAAACGCGGCACGCGCGGGTCTGTCCCGCACCACGGCGCTCACGAGAATTAACGAAATGTACTGCGGGAAATAAAATATTCTGGCCTCAATGAAAATTAATCAGATTTAATGTATTAAAAGGCTGAGACGGAGGCGTTTTCCTGCGTTACCTACGCGAGGGACCTCCGTGTTCCCGCGGGCAGAGCAGTACGGAGGTGCTCCGGGACTCGGCGGCTCCAGCCCCGGCAGCCCGGGCTGGGCGGGCCGCTGCCCCGCTTTCTCTCCAGAGCCCGCTTCGCTCCTTTTCTAATTGACATCTGGAGGCAGGCTCGATCCTGGAGGTGCTGTTAGCAGCACAGCACCGACTACCAGAAATATCCAGAAATAATAACCTTTGCAACCTCACCACAATCATTATGTGAGACAAAACTGCATGCGTGTCACTCCCTTCAGACCCTAAACTCTTGTCTTGCATTTTTAGAATCTCACCTCTCACTTGTCCTGCAGATCACCTCGCTCACCTAGGGCCACCCCAAACACACACAGTCCCACTTTCCCCTCTGTTCAGGGTTCCCAGCAGCACAGTCCCGAATATTTCATAAACGCTCTTTAATTACATTACTCAGCGTGTGACGCCAGAACAAGGAAATATTCACCTGGAAAGTGTCTTCTTCTGCATGAATGAGTCTCATTGTCAAAATCTTGAGCATATATAGGTACGTATATGTTTTGCAGTGGAGAATTTAGTTTCTCGTTTATACTGTAAAGCTAAAAATTCTGGTAGCTTCAGGCTTGTTTTTACAAGTTCCCAGCTGTACAAGGATTTCTGTTTTTACAGGAAAAACTAAGCAGTCCATCGACCATGATGGCTGTACATCCATAATGTGAGCTTCATGAGGAACA